TATTGTGATATAGGATCATCTTTTTGAACGGAATATTCACATGTATTTTGGTGAATGTGCGAGGACTATATTTCAACCCCAAATGTTGATAGCAAAAAAATCTATATTTTTTATCCAGAGGCATTATTTTAGCTTTTGTTTTACCTTAGACATTAGTTTTATTAATTTTTCATTTCAAAAATAAAAATTTATTTATTACATATACATATGCATGTATTAAAAGTTTCACTGTTCAAAACAGGTGAAGAAAATGAAAAAATAATTACTTTTTAATTTTAACAACTAAACCAACAATTTAGGATATTATGTTTTCAAACAAAAATGTTTTCAATTTGACCAAATTTAAAAAATTATTCCAAGTTGATTGAATTCTTTGCAAAATTAAATAGAGTGCAAAAGGGTTAATATTTATCTTTCATTTTTCAATAATATGAATTTGATTTTTCGAAGGTTTCTCATATCTATGAAACATTATTGCTCACAATTTAAACAATTAAAAGTTTAATCACGCAAACATAACAATTTCTTTTTCACATGTTATTTTTTTCTAAATATTTTCCTTTTTATGAAAAAAAAATCAATTTTTATCAAGTGTCACTTACAGAATTTGTCATTCTGAAGTGAAACTTCAATTTAATGTTTTGAACTTACACATTATTAAGTATAAATTTTTAACGTCTTAAAGTTATATAATAGTTGTATTTAATGAAACAGTCCGGTGTTTTTTTTTAATGCTATTTTTTTAAACACCAACTTTTGATTTGCTTTCTTAAAAAATTTTGTAAGAAATTCATGCAACATATAAGATAGTTTTTATATAAAATCAATTAGAATATCTGGAAAACTACCAGAAATTTTCTTAAATAAATTCTGTCAAGTTACACCCAGTATTTTACTGTTACATTTTTTTTTGCAAAACCTTAAGAAAGTTTTAAAATTATTTTACTAAAATTTTTATATCAATGTTAAATGGATCTGAGACCTGGGTTTTTTAAAACAAAGATGGGAATCTACTCAGAAAATTTATTGATTAGAAGACTTTATGAAGCCACTAATAAAAATAATTCACAGAGAAGATGTAACCATGAAATAGAAAATATGATTAAATGGAAAAACAAAAAAATTGATCAAAGCTAAAAGATTACAGTGGATAGAACAGTTAAAAGAATGAGAAAAAAGTACCCAAGAAAATTATGAAAGGAAAATAGTATAATAATAGAAAAAGAGAAGGACTAAAGCTAAAATGGCTGGATCAGGTTGAGAACTAAAAAAATGAAGATAAAAAAGTGGAAAAAGAAATCTAAGGAAACAGTGACGGGGAACACTCTATTGTAGAGGAAGCCAAATGCCCATCAAGGGCTGTAGAGCTGTAAAAGGAGAATATAATATAAGTATGGAGCCCTCCCCCTCTTTTTTTTTTAAATCTAATTTCCCTCTTCTTTTTTTTTGACATAGTCAAGTATGGAGCCGTGGTGGCTTAAGGGATCACAATGAGGTAAATCGGGTTCGAATCCCAGCGATGACTGATCAATACAAATTCCGCACCTGGCTAGCACCGACCACAGTGCTGACGTAAAGTGTCCTCAGTGGTAGGCCATGTAATGCAAATGCGGGTTAGTTCCATCAAAAAATCCTCCATGAAAGCAAATTTCTCCCAATGCTAGGAAAATTGATTTTAAAAAGTATATTTAAAACTCGATTTCTCAGGAAACTATTCAACCGGTTTCGCTCAAATTTTGTATTTTGCCATGCAAAATTAGTTAGTACTTTAAAGTTATTTATCTTACTATTCGGAAGTTTTACGACTGTTATTATATAAAATAATAAAAAAATAGTAGATATTTACAAAAATTTATTTTTTGCATAGAATTAATTATCTTTAGATAAACAAATTTTATCCTTAGGTGCAAAGATTCTTCAAAAATTCTCGACATTTGAATTGTAGCGTATACCGTTCTGTACGTCATTTTAAAGCATGTAATCTTACATTGCAAAAGTATAAAATTTGATGAAATCATCTGAATAGCTCCTGATAAATCGAATTTTAATTATTCGACTTCTTTAAAATTCGATTTTTCAAGAATTATTCAACCGATTTCGCCCGAATTTTGTATTTTGCTTTGTAAAATTACGTACTTTAAAATGGCGTAATAAATTGTGTACCTTATAATTCAAAAAATTTTTGAAATATTTAATAACATTTATTTTTCGCTTTGAATTATTTTTGGCAAAATTAATTTTATAATTGTGTGCGAAAATCTTTTATTCGCTTAAAAAGTTTTCGAGATGCGCGAAACATGCAAAAAAAAAGAATTAATATCATGTGGTTCAAACTTTGGATCGCTCACCTGATCAAACTATGAGGACCATGTTTCCCAGATTGTGGCTACTATTTTGAGGGTCAGAAAACCGAATCCGTTGAAGAAAAAAAATTATGTTTATTCAGAGAAAGTGCGTTTTTTGGTCTGATTTCATAACTTAAAATATCGTCTGTATTAATTAACATATTTGAGGTCACAAACCCTCGAACCATTAAGTTTGAGTGTTAGCGTGAGGATCCTATCATTAGGTCAAAAGCTATACAGGGTGATCCGTTTTTTTTTTTTTTTTTGGCGAACTGTACCTCGTTTTTATCAGTGTAAATACTTTTTCTTGCTTGTATTTGATGCAGGTTTTTGACAAAATAACACTTCTATACAAACTCTTTTTTTGACATTTCTCAAAAAAGACTCAGATAATTATTTTGTAAATTTCGATGTGTTTACTTCATGCGATTCCTCATACATATCAATGAAGTTTAGAGGTTTGAGTGGTCGACAATAAATTATAAACGGAAAATATTGTTTTTGAATCCTCTACGCCAAAAATTGTAGCAATATGTTAGTAATTTGTAACAATTATTTTAGTTATTGTATGCAATAATTGCACGAAATTTCCTGTGCAAAAAATTTCCTTTCTTTATCTTAAAAATTTATGAAGACGCGGACATTTTAATGGAAAAAAAAACTAATCTTATTTTGGGTTTACGACTACTATTGTTCAACTTCGTAGTCTTGTAATTTTGAACCAATCCAGAAGACAAGGAAACTCCTGGATCAGTCCCCCCCCCAGAGGTATGATTTGATATGGTAGCATGGAGGACTTTGTGACTCGACAGATTTAACGTGCATCAGTCACCATTTACAACACGGAGAGTCTTCGACTGGCGGGGATCGAACCCACGAACTGTTGGATATGGGCGCAGTGCCCTACCAATGAGGCTATCCCGGCCCTTCTGCCGAATAGGATTCACTACAAAATTATGAAGGAAATTTTTTTTCCGCGTATGCGTGGTATAAAAACACTACACTTTTTTTAGTTATATCTTGCACATTTTTCAACGATTTTTTTTTTTTTAAAATTTAAAGCAATCATTTTGTAATTAATTTTAAATTGCTCCAAGAATTTTGTTTAATTCTATTGAATATTTTTAAAGTTATAGCTAAGTAATTCTATCGAATATTAAGTAAATATTTGAGCTAGGTTTACAAAATTTATCGCAATTAATGCATATAATAATCAAAATATTTGTTACAAGTTAAAAACTTATTGCTACAGTTTTTGACATAGGGTATTCAGAAACACTATTTTCCGTTCGTAACTTATTGTCTTCCTCAAACCTCTAAAAGCTTTAAAATGTGTTAGTATAGACGAGTTTCCATTATTTTGTCCAACCCTTGTGCTTGTAACAATAGTTACTACTGTGGACCATTTCACGTTTTCCGCGACTGTGTGAAAGATTATTTTTTTCCTTAGTTTCTGTGGAGGGGGGAGCATATTGTTTTTTTTTTCTTTATTAATACTACAAATCATTTGTTTATTTTTTTTTTTTAAAAACTGGACTTGTTGCAGTTTGATCCTGATGTCCCATCGGTCTAATAATTAATAATGACCAATAATTTTAAATTAAAAAGACTATTGGGAAACATATAACCCAAGATTGTTTTTAATGTTGTCAAATGATACATTTTCAAAATCATGCAAAACAACGTAAAAGTATAAAAATAATACTTATGTTATGACCTCACTTTTTATAGCTTTGATTTCGGTTATTTTCTTCACAAAATAATGCATAAATCTTTATTAAAACATGCAATTTCTTCAAAGCTATGCCGCCTTGACAGTTTCATGAGGGCTGCCAACTTTCCAAATCGAAAGAGGGGAGTACGAAAAACCATAATGTGCAAATCTTATGTTAAATTGGGATCTATTTTGCTCCATAGTCTACTTGGGACATAGATGTCCCGAGTAATCTGTTGAGTTTAGTAGTAAACTTAAGTATGGAGTTCGTCAATAAAAATAATTCAGAGGGGGTTGGAGGGAGTTTGAGATTTTCATTTTTATAATTTATATTTAAAGTGTAAAGCAAGAATATTATTACATCTTCGTCAAGCACATTCTTTTTAGTAAAAAAAATACATTTATAAAAGCAACTATAACCTGCAAAAATTTCTTTTCATTAGAATATATTCCAAATGAACTTAAAAATTAAGATGTTAATAATTTTTATTTAAACCAAATTTTAAAAAAAAAAATCATTTAAAGTATATATTTTTTATCATATTAAACTTCATAACTCCGCCTACATTTATTTTTACTTATCATTTTTAACTATTCGCTGTAAGTATTAATTATCCAGTCACTTGGTAATTTTAAAAAATCATTGCATTATCTTGCAAATGCTTGGACCAAATTTATTGTTTTCGTTATGGAATAATTTATCTTAAATATTTCACCGATTTTGTTTAGTGTTCCATATCTGTTTATTTTATTTATTATTTATTTATCGCTTGAAATCTAGTGTCACTAATAACCTTTAATTAGGTCTATTCTGTTTTTCATCATTAGAAGAAGAAAAAAAATTTCTCCAGAATTATTGGTGTTTATTTATTTTCAGTGTTAGTATGTTATTTTACTTTGTAGGTTATATCCCCATTAAGCATTGCCTTTTACCCCTTTAGAATCCCAATGACCTCTTTGAACTGCTAGAAAGACTCTCCACTAGTCGCTTGGATGATCAGAGATGTGCTCTGCCTACTCTACTCCAGGTAACGTTGTGCATTTTAATTTTCAATTTATTTTCCAGGTGAATTGCGATAAGATGAGTTGTGTTATGGAAAAGAAAGAAAAAAAACGACGTCGTTGAACATCCGTTGCGCGAAGGAAGCTCATTAATTTGAACTTGAGCAGCATTTCCTTGATATATACCTAGAATTTCCGATCCAAATCGTCCTTTCTTCGTTTTTCCCTTGAAATAAAATTATTTTTAGTTTTGATGATAAAACTCTGATATCATCCATATGAAGAAGTGCGCCTTTATTTTTTTTATAAATAATTTAGATATAAAGTCAAACCCCGCTATAGTGAACACGGCTTATAGTGAACTCCCGGATATAGTGAACGAAATGCTCGGTCCCGTGCCTTGCTATACACGTATAATGTTATTTTTAGTTGATATAGTGAACCAAAAAAGTGAGGAAGTTGGATATAATGAACTTTTTTCAGTCTTCGACTGTCCCCCCCCCCCATTTTCTTTGCACTAATTTTGAAATATCTACTTCAAAGTAAATACATATACCGATTTTTAAAACCATCTATTGAAAGGTATAGGTTAGACAGGTTTAAAAAGCGGAATAACAGAAACTCGGGAAAAATTATTTGAGAGTCGGGAAGTGTTTCCATATCTGATGTTGAGGATTGCTCATCAGCTGAAGATTACCAATTTTTATTTGTACGCAAGACGATGAGTGATGAAAAATAACTCATTTTTTGCTACTACATAATATTTTTCAGTCATTTATATGAATATAATGTCATAAAAGGGAGGAGTTTGGGAACCATTAGTGAAATTGCCTGCGTAACTGATATAGTGAACTCCCGGTTATAGTGAACCGAAATTTCGATCCCTTGAAGGTTCACTATAGCGGGGTTTGACTTATTTTTATTTACAAGGACATTAATGTGCCGTACAACCTACATAAAACAAGTATTTTAAACTTTTTGTAAAATAATTCTTATGTTAATTTACTGCAGAGTTGGGGTTTTGGACGTCCTAAACTGGTTTTGGACAGGGCACGTGGGTTTTACTGTCTTAAACTGACTAAAACTGCCTTAAAGTGTCCAAAACCTTGAACATTTTTATATGGTAAAAATTTTATATGTGTGTAACCATTACTTACACATAATAATTACATATATTAATAAATATTTGATACTTTTACTTTAGTTTATTTTTGCTAATATAATGGGAAAAGATTAATAACTTTTGAAGCTGCACAATTCACCTAATAACAAAAGTATAATCAATGCAATATTAAAAATAATAATAAACTTTTTTAATAAAACATAAACTTGTCTTCATTTTGTTTTTTGTTCAAAAAGTAACCTTTTGTTTTTCGCATTATATTTTTAAAATTGTGACATAATTTGAACGAAAGGGTCTTGGAGAATTTGAACAAAAGGGTTTTGGACAGTTTATAAGACACTTTTGGACAGAGGGATTTCGGACAGGACGGTTTAAACTGTGGATTAATTCATTCTGCCCTAAACCTTGCCAACCCTGATTTACGTTTCGCTCATGCCTTTATGTGTTTGTCAATTTGGAAACCCAAAAACTCAAAAATTTAATATCGATAGTTTTTATTTTGTTGCCAATAAATGTTTAAATAAAAGAAGTAAAACAAGCTTCAAATGTGAGGTAAAATCCAGATTTCAGAAATGGAGCTGCAACCCATATTTCTTTTGCAAATAATTATCTACCTTTAGTACGGGAAGAACTTATCTTTCACCTTCATAAGTAATTTAAAGTATGGTAAAAGTGAAATCAGGCAAACTTAGAGTAAGCCATAAAGTTTTAAATACTGAAATGAAATTTTCAAAATATCAAAATGAAAACAAATTATGAGATAAGATTACGCATTAAAGAATTTCTCTTCCAATAATTTGTTTGCATTTTAATGTTTTCTAATTTTTTTTTCAGCAATTGAAACTTCATGGCTAACTCTAGGTTTGCCTGATCTCACTTTTTCACCATTTTCAATTTTAAATTTGTTAAAGAGGTGCGGCAGAATTAGCGATGAAAAGTTTCTTCCGCGATATACCATCCTCTTAAATTATAATGAAGTAGATTACTGATAAAGTCGAGATTATTATTTATTTCAAGAGTAAAGAATTCGTGATTCACGGATGAAATTAATAGTTTTGACGTATAGAATAATATATAACTTTAAAAAAAAAAATTTTTAAGGAATGAATTAAAAGTTATGCTGGGATAACAATTTTTTTTTCAAAAGGCTACTGCTATGCTGATGCCGCCTGCTGCCCCTGCATTAAATTCAAGCTAGAATAAATATATTTAAAAAATATTCTGCATTTTTAAAATCTAAAACTATTCTTTATTAAAATAGATTCAACATTTTTTTTTCACTTAACATGGAAATAAATATTCGAAATAAATTTGAATTATTCTTTAAAATTAAGATTAACTTGGTTAAAAAATAAAAGAACAAAATTATTTTGTATTTATAACGCATCATTTTAACAAGTAATCAGGCATTCATGCTTATTATACTATTCAGAACTAAAAAATTTCGTCAATTATTGACGATGTTTCAGAGGTTATCATTGAAATTTTATATATTATTAAAATACGTTATATTAAACCCACACTTTCACTAAGCTACTTTAGGGCATAATTTATTATACATATCTTTGTTCTCACATAGTTATTTACCATGCCATTACATGGTATTCACAGTAGAGCAATTGTAAACAACGAACGGCTGATGGGCACAGGTGACGTGATTTCGCGAATAATCAAATGACTTCCAGTTTCATACGAAAACGAAAATAAGCGTTTTCTTCTTAATAACTAAATAATTAGCTCTTTTAAAAAAGTAATGTTTTCTGTGAGTTTTGAAAGATTCTGAATGCATTAAGATTTTTTTTAAAAAAATTGACTGGAATCGTCCATTATACCGCATTAAAATATTTTTAATCTGACATAATTACCATATTTAATTTCGCCGCGATAACCACCGAAAAAAGGCGATTGAAAAACTACATTAATTTAGATGGTGCGCGTCAAAAAAATTTTCAGTTTTTAATTTCCGATTTTTTTTTTCCGAAAAAAAAATTATAATAGTTTTTTTTTTATTTTTTATGTTCAGGTACCTTACGAGACAGATATCGAAACTTTTATGTTTGTAATTGAAATTGAATTATTTTTTTATTTCTATATGAGTTAATTTTATGTTAATTGCACTACGACCCTGAAAGCCATGTAATCCGCAATGCATAATTTATCCCTTTTCAGCATGTCTTTTTAATCTCGGATTGATCATGCGGAAAGATTTATCTTGAAATTCCATTCCGTTAGAAAAATTACTTCTATTTATATAAGTATATAAATTAGTTTTCCTTGCTTCCGTTTGGTTAAAAGCAGAACTGGGTTTTTGCCGGTAAAAACCAGGGGGGGGGAATGAGAAAAAACTGGTAAATGCTGTCAACTCATGTTTAATTATTTACGGATATAGTGGTTTGCTATTATATATATTGTTTCTATATTATAGCTAATATTAAGAATTATTAGACAGTATATAATTTTATATGTATGTTAGCGAGTAACAAGCCATGAGATAAGTGATGCAATGTAAGATATCTCCTAAATTTTAATTGTAAAAAAAAAAATTTCGCACAACCAGTTGAGGCAAATCTTCTATTAACAACTTAGAAAACTGATAAATGTTCAATGACAGCCAATAACAATTAATTAAATATTAAATTATAAATTTCATTATATTATATCATTGTATATTATAACTTTATTATAGCTGCATTTATAAACAAAAAATTACCGGAAAGCTCAAGTAAGCGGAATTAAGGAAATTTATAAAAAGAAATTAAATAATATTCATTCTAATTATTATTATTATCATTTTACAAAATAATATTCGAAACATTACAATTCTACAGTAGTGATTAAATAAGAATTTATCTAACCAATCTTTTGTCAATTATTTTTAGAAAATGAGATTTGGAGAAAAAAATTTTTTTTTTATTTATTTCACTTTGTACGTGCATTTTTAAGATCAGAAATTTTTTTTCGTGCAAATGAATTAAAAGCATTAAAAAAAATTTTTTTTGTGCATGAAGATTACAAAAATCAAGAAGAACAACAAAAAGGAATATTAATGAACCATACATTAGAAATTAAGNATGCTGTCAACTCATGTTTAATTATTTACGGATATAGTGGTTTGCTATAATATATATTGTTTCTATATTATAGCTAATATTAAGAATTATTAGATAGTATATAATTTTATATGTATGTTAGCGAGTAACAAGCCATGAGATAAGTGATGCAATGTAAGATATCTCCTAAATTTTAATTGTAAAAAAAAAATTTCACACAACCATGTGAGGCAAATCTTCTATTAACAATTTAGAAAACTGATAAATGTTCAAAGTGAGCCAATAACAATTAATTAAATATTAAATTATAAATTTCATTATTATATTATATCATTGTATATTATAAATAACTTTATTATAGCTGCATCTATAAACAAAAAATAAGCGAAATGTAGGAATTTTATAAAAAAAAAAAAAAATAATATTAATTCTAATTATTATTATTATTATTGACAAAAGAGTAATAGAAGCATTTAAATATCTACAGTAGTGATTAGCTAAGGATTTATCTAACCAATCTTTTGTCAATTATTTTTATAAAATGAGATTTGGAAAAAAAATTATTTTATTTATTTCACTTAAACATTTGTCACATTTTTAAGATCAAAATTTTTATTTGTTCAAATGGATTAAAAGTATTAAAAAAAATTTTATGTATGAAAATTTCAAAAATCAAGAGGAACAACAAAAAGAAATATCAATGAAGCATACATTAGAAATTAAGATAAAAATTTTATTTTCAAATCATAAGACCAGACCACTGACTACATATTAATGCACAAATGTTTTATTTTGGACAAAAGTTATGTTAATTTATAAATCGATATATAATAAAAATTAAATATATATATTT